ATTAGATATATCGCACACATGTGCGGAGGAAAAAAGCAAAATTCAAATTAGTTATTTATTGAAATCAATGTCGTTTGAATTGGGCTAAATCCGTTAGATAACTATTTGCTATGATAAATACTCTCCTGACGCTACATCATCGTCATCGATAAAATATCTCCTCGTTGTTATTCCGCAGAAATCTAACATAAACAAATATTTAGCATATAACGATAAATGAATTCAAATAGATATCATGTGAAATTTTGAACTGAGAAGCCTACAAAGATTAAAATACACGATATATTCTTCAATTTTAGATAGATGGCGCTAATCAACGTTAACGAAATATATCATTAATCGATTGTTTAAAAGTGAAATAACATTTTTCAATGTTCAAAAATTTCAAACTATCAAAATTTGATATTTTTTAAAGCATATTATATCAATAAGAAATCATGTTTCTATGGAAACATCAGGACTTACGACAAATCGTCTCAAATAACTATAATTGTTTTAACTGAGACAAAAAAAAAACAAACGGAAATATTATCTTTAACATTTCCACACATCTGGCTCTGTTCTCAATGAAAATATTAAACTATGAAAAGTCGAAATTTTCACACAATTTTTCTCTTTTTATTTGAATAACTAACTAATGTCTGATCGCACCGAACAAAAGTCACCAACAAGTGAGTCATCATCTAGTACTGAACCAGCAGCAGCAACAGAAACAGAATCTACAATTAATGGAGCTATAGCTGTTCTTATCAATAGTACTCCATTAGTTGATTCAAATACAATACACGGTTCGAGAGATAATAGTCCACAAACATTACGTCGTCGAAGTAGTGTATCAATTATTCAAGCACTTGCCAATACTAGACATTTACTTACAACAAATGATGCTCGAAAACGGTAGATTTCATATTTTAATTCTATAATTTTCAAAATTATTTTTTCTTTTACAAAATAGAAATTTTCTTGTTGGAGCTGGAAGACAACTACCAGAAAATACAGCAAATGATATTAATTCTTTTTTCCCTAGCGGACGATTATTAACAATAATGATGGTAACATGGAATACAGGTGAAGCATCGAAATTATATGAACAAAATTATACTCCAACTGCTCGACAAACAGCACAACCAAAAGAACGTATGCTTGATGATATGTGCGATATATTACTGCCAACATTTATTGATTATGTTTCGGATCTTATTATTGTTTGTACTCAAGAAATGTCTGTTGCAAAGAAGAGGTACACAGCTAGTTTTAAAAAAGTATTTCAATCAGAATTCTCGTTTAGAAGGGCGAGACCTTTCCTTCTCAAAATGCTCCACTTTCTGCAAATTTTCCACAACTTCATAGTGACTTTCCATAGAAACCAGATTTTAAAATGCCATTTGCTTTTATCTGAGAGAATGTGCAATAGCAGTAAGCAGAACAATGTTATTGTGAAGTGAATAGGATTCGGACAAGCTTTGAGAAATAAACGGTCTTGTAAGAGGTCGTCTGTTGTGGGAGAGACTGGATCCCGATAAATGTCATTTTTCTCTTCTCTCGAGATCACCACTTTAGGCACTTTGAGAATGATAAACAATCAATAGTTATTCTGATTCTTTTGTTTTTTGTTTGAATGTTGTTATTTCTAAAATAATTGGTTTTTTTCGATATAGAATTGATTGGGAGATTTTACTGCAAGAAGTTATTGGGCCAGCTCATGTTCTATTTCATTCAGTTCATTTTGGTACATTATCATTATGTATATTTTTACGACGAGATTTAATATGGTTTTGTACCGGTATATATAAAAAATAAAAATAAAAAATATCTAGTAACTTTTTTTGTTTTTTACGTAGAACCAGAAGAAGATATTATTAAATTTCGAGCTGTAGGTCCTGTTCGTACCAAAGCTTCATTAGTAATAACATTCAATCTATTTGGAACATCATTTATGATTATTAATTCACATTTTGAAGGTCTGCTCTTGATGAGAAACATAAAAATTGATTGAATTTTCTTTCTTTTGTTTCATTTTAGCTGGTCATGGTTCTGAAGGACGTTCAAATCGACGATTAAATTTTTATAATACAACAACAAAATTATCCATTCCACATGAATTTATTCAACGAACATTTAAAACTAATAAACGTGTAATATCGTCAGTTGAATCGTCTATACCAAAAAGTATAGAATCATCAGCATCACTTGATTCTACTCCGCGTACAGGTGTAGGTAAATATCATCGACTATAGATTTTTACTTGTAAACTATTAAAAGAAATCATTTCCATATAGATATAACAAAATCATGTGATTGTGTTCTTTGGGGAGGTGATATGAATTTTAGAATTGATATGCGATATGATGAAGTATTAGAATATTGTGAACAACAAAATTTTCGTGACATTTTACTTAAAGATGAATTTCGTGCGGCACAAACGAAAACTAGTAAATCAAGATTTTTTTTTTTCATTTTTAAATCATTTGAAAATTCTTGTTATATTTTATTATTTAGATGATCTATATGCAAGTTTTAAAGAAGCTGATATTGATTTTGCACCAACGTATAAATTTGATTTACGCTTTGATGATGATACATATGCTAAACATAGAACACCTTCATATACAGTAAGAATAAAAGACTAAACATAGAAACTGATCCTCAATTTAAAATAAGCGATAAAAATTTGAAAAAAATCAAAAAAAATATAGATATGAGAAGAGATCAATAATAAAGTATTATTTGTAGTTTGTTTCGTTTTAATAATAGACGTGAAGAGTTCGGAAATAAAATGCTACATTCGTCTTCAAAGTATATCATTGAAGCTGCTTTTTCTTTATTACTAACAATGTTTGAAATTGTGTATGACTATTTAGGAACAAATGTATCTGTTATGGACTTTCATAAGCAACTTTCATATGTTGTGCAAAGTCCTCGAAAAGAAAAATCCATTTTTCTCATTTAGTGTCAAATAGAAACACTCAGAGAGACAATTCAAAAATTTTCATTTAATCAAAGAATGTAGTCTCCTTTTTATCCTTTTTGTCATCAGCAATAATGATAGTTTAATCCTTGAGAGTCTTTTGGATTAGAGTTGTCGATTTTTTTTTACTATGACCCAATCCCTTCCACAACAGAGAATTTTCCACTAAGCTGATTCTTGCCTAATTCTATTCATCTCACAAACACAATCTCTGTTTATCTTCATTTCACTTTCTAGCAGAGAAAAGCAAATGGTGTTACAAAACCCGGTTTTTGTCTAAAGTTGTCACGAAGCTGTAAAAAATTGACAGATAGTACTAAGAATTTTCGCAGAAACTCATATATTTTATGAAGTAATCTCGTCAGCGGCTAAGTTGTAGCACCAACCGTGGAGTGATCGTGGACAAATCATTGATGACGATTTGCCACAGATCACTTGTCCGATAGTATGCTAACTGCGTAGTGACATACACCTGCTTTTTCTGGTTAGTGTGTGGCTAGTGAGTGTATATGAGAAGCGCATGAGTTTTGCATTAGATCGGCCTTCGATCCAGACCTGCACCTAATCATAGTTGTAAGGAAGATATTGAACTATTGAATCTGTCAACAGCTGACACCACATACCGTACGGTAGCTTCAAAGCATAAAGTTTCTTTTTTCTTTGGTTTTCCCTTTTTTTCTATTATTGTTGATCTTCTTTTCTAATGCTCTTTAACTGTGATTAATCGCGTAAAATAAATTATGACGAAATTTGTACAATGATGGAATCGACAGTGTGTCAACATTAGGCATCTGCAAAGTGGTCCCGGTCCCGGTCCCGCCGGAACCGGGACCGGGACTAAAATTTTACTTTTGCCGGGACTGGGATCGGGACCAAAATTTTCAAGCTAGCCCCGGTATTATTTTTTATCAGAAACTCGATTCTGCGTTTAGGTATTTCTTATATTTTTGTGATCAGAAATCTAAAAAAACAGCAATTTTCTTTACAATTCTGATAAAAAGTTTCATCGATCCTCGTTTCAGTTTCAAGAATCGGAATTTTTTCACCATAATACAATTTTTAACTGGCATCGAGTCCAGACCGGGACCGGGACCGGGACCAAAAAAAAATTTGGGCCGGGACCGGCACCGGGACTGAAGAAAAATTTTGACCAGGACCGGGACCGGGACTAAAACATTTTCCACCGGGACGGGACCGGGACCGGGACCAAAAAAACTGATTTTGCAGATGTCTAGTCAACATACAGATGCTTATCAGAAGTAGGCATTAACGACTATAGGCTACGATTCTGAATATATCTGTCAGATCATTCTGATAAAGAAGTTCAAGATTTATTATTGACTTCCTTTGCTAGAGATAGAATTTGATTTTTTTAACATCAAACAAAATTGGTATGAATGATTTAATTAGTACCTTACGTCAATTCAGTCTCATTGAAAGAATTATTTGTATCATAAAATAATGTTTTTTAGGATCGTATTCTCTATCGCGATAAACCAACATCAACAATTGAATGTACACAATATAAATCAGTTGAAGGTGTCAAGCATTCAGATCATAAACCTGTTGTTGCTCATTTTCGTGTTAAACTTAAACCTGGTTTACATACGTAAATTCATATAAATTTTTATCTATTATCTATTACGATATGTTTTTAGAGGAAATCTTTCATATGGAAAATTTAATCATGAAGTTTACAAAAGTGGTATGTGTTATTGTTTAATGATATTTTCAATTGATGGTTTGTTTTTGTTAAATAGGTTGTAAACAACGTGAACGACATCATTCCTTAGGTGTTGGCTTAGGAAATAATGCGAAGCGTCGAACGGCGATCCCAAAAAGTTCAGTTTGTGTGCTTCAGTGAATTTTATCGTTTATTTTTTAACTAGTCATATCATGTTAAGTGTATATTTTTTTTTTGAACACGTTCAAAACAAAACAAATATATATATAGATATATATATACATATATATCTATATATATTTATGCTTTAGTGAAATAAAATGCTCTAAGTTATTTCTATACAGTTAATTATCCTTGAATAGAGATATTTGTTGTTGTTGACACATTAAAATCTTTATTAAAATCTTGATTTTCATATAATCGACGACGATAAGCAAAATATCGTTTAATTTTGTATGTATGAGCACGCATAGAACATACATTAGGAAGAATTAATGATAAACGTGACCATTCAGGTAGAACCAAATGACAACGAGGATTACGATATCTAGTTTTAAAAATATTAGATATAAAGATGGAATTTTTTATTTATCGATTTTTATACCGATTAAGTAATTCATAAATTGAATATTGATATTCTGATTTTTCAATGGTTGTTGATAAAGATTGTGCGAGAGTTTCATTAGTCGTTTCACGAGTTAATTGTTGAATAGTATCGCCTTGACCAAGTATATTACTATTGATATTATGCTTGTTATTATTATTATTGTTATTGTTATTATTTGAAGATTCATCACCAATATTCGTTGTGTCAGATGATGAAGCTTTTTGAGTAATTAAATGACTATCATTTTCATTATCTGAATTATAAAATTCTTCAAGAAATTGATCAAGATAATGAAAATCATTAAAATCAGAATCTGATGATGAACAGGACTGAAGAAAAACAACACATTTAATAATACAAAACAATTTTTTTTTCTGTTTTGATAAAATCAATTACTGTGTCATTATCTTCGTCATGAAGTTTGGATCGACTTTCACGTGGAATAAACACTGGTGCGCTTGGATCAAGTATGGAACCAATATTATTCATCATTTTAACATCATCAGCTGAAACAAGTGATAATGATGATAGAGCTGCATTTATACTAGGTTCTTTATTTGAAAGGCAAGATGATGGTGATGCAATCATTGTATCAAATACATCGAATGTGCCATTCGTTGCTAAAAAATAAAAAAGAATAGTTTCATGTAATATTTTATCAAGGGAGAAAGTGCAGGTTTAGAAACTTCAGCATTTGTTTGATATTAAAAGTAGAATTCGATATACCCAAACAACTGAAGCCGAGAACTGAACCGAAAACTTGAATTCATTAGATAGATCCAAAACTTTTAAATCCATTTTGAGAAATTTTCATTGTTGAACTGCTGAGATTAAAGATTTCAGTATGTATTTATAAAATGGTTTTGTTGAAGTACTGAAATATGTGGTGTGTTTAATCTTAATAATTCAATAGTGAAAACGAACGAAAGTCGTGATTCTGACTTCGGATACTTTCTGAAACTGTTGAACTCTAGCTGAGTGTGCGGATACATATTTGGAACTAGATCGAAAACCGAGATAATGATTATGAATGAGAGTTATATTATTTTAATTTGATTTTTTTAATTAAGACAAAGCTATGTTTCGAAAATGATCATTTATTAATCAAATTTGACTAAAGATTTCCGAGGTCGAAGTGTCCAAATATCTAATTCGGTTTTTTTCAATTATTTGGATTAGTGGAAGCCTATTGCTTGCGGTTTACTCACGTGTTATAACAATCAGTTGTTTGTTTTAAATAGACTTCTCTGAACCTGAGAAATGGAACTCCCGTATTTCGTAAAAACCGATTAAAAGCTGGAATTTCTTCGCTCCATGAATTTCTAGTCAACCTCTATAAGAAAAAAAATATTTGTTTCCGAAAAAATAATCTTGTCTTGATTGAAAATCGAATCAAAATAGTATCAATCTCACTCATAGTTATCATTCTAATTGGCAGTCTATGCTCAAATACGTGTGAGCAACACTGTACTTTATAGTCAAATTTGGTGCTCAGATACTGCACTTACCCTCTCGTATTTTTATTCTGGTTATATCTTACCGATATTACCAACATTAGGTACACTTGGTACGTCATTATTATTGACTAATTTTATGATATTATTCGTTGAAGAATCGTATTGTTTAATATTTAATGTATCATAAAAATGTTTCATAAGATCATTATGTTGTTGTAATTGATTTCGTTGTAAAGCTCTTTGATACACTAGTCGTGCATGCTCAGCTATTTCATCTTGTGTCATAGGACGTGTTTTAGGTACAAATATATTTGAATCAGTTTGTAATATTTGAGAATTTTTTCCTGAATTTATTATATCTTTTGGTAAATCAATATTTGATATTGGTATTGATTGATTATACAGAAGAGTTGAACATTGATTATGTTTAATGGAATCATAATCTGTTGAAAAAGTATTATGTTGATTAGTTAGTAATTGTTGCATAAACATTGTATGAGCGTTCATTAATTGTAAATAGAATAGTGAATTCATTGCATCTGATTGAAACACTTGATTGTTACCAAATTTACTTAAATACGTTTGAAACATAGATGATAATTGGTTTGTATCGCCACCATTGAACGTAGAAGTAAATGGATTGGATGGTGATTGAAGAGAATTTGAATTTATGCTGTTGTTATTTTGTGTAGTAAATTTTGAATTAGATGTTGTTTGTTGAGTATTATAATTAGATGATAGTTGATCTAAAGAACATATTTCATTTATCTATGAAAAAATTCATGATAAATCAATTGATAGATCTGGTACGTTAATTAGCTATGTATATTCTAACTGTGATTTAGATAGTTGTCAATCATTCACATACCCTGATTAGTACGACAGATTGTTTGTTGTTGAAGATGGTTTTGTGTTAATAATGAAGGATAAGTATTAGCATCGGAATCTGTTATTGTCGAATTAGAATGTAATGATGTATTTGATAGCATTGAATTTTGTCGAGTATTTGTTGATAAAATAGATGAAGAAAAATTTTGTTGAGTTGTATTACCTATTGTATTACTATAATTATTATTCGTATCACGTAGTGTCTTCATTTTTTTTTTTTTTTCATCAATACTGATGGCTTTTGATAATGTATTATGACATTCTACGCGCGAATTTCCTTTGAGAATTAAATTTCTTAAACAAATGCTTATGATTAGAGATTTTAACGTTTTATATACTGAGCAGAAAATAAAATAGAAAATATGTAAAAATAGTACTTTTACATCTTGAAAGTTTAAGTTTTCTTTTTTCAAATGATTTTCTTTTTGCAATATGTCAAACCATTCCTATGCGATGAATTCTCTTTGCATAATTCATAAAGAAATATCGTATATTTGTGAAACAAAAAATTTTTTATTTTAAGAAATATCGTATATTTGTGAAAAAAATATTTTATTTTCTCCAATTACATGATTCAAACGTTTGATGACGTTAAGAACTGATTGATGATGAAAATGTTTGAATTAAGCAATCGATTAAATGTTTTTGAATTATGCACAGTTTCATTGCTTAAAATTTGATAATTTTTAGTTGAGGATCCTCTTCGAATAAGAACCGAGGATTAAGTTCAGAAAACTGTTCAAAAAATTTTAATATAAAATGTCAACATAAATTTTTTTGTTTTTTGATTTTTGGAATGAAAAGTTGGATGATCTTATTATGAATAAAAGAAAGAAATAGCAATAACATAAATATAAGAATAAAAAAAATAAACAAATAAGCTTCTGGAAAGAATCATCTAAATCTGTAACAAACATGATAAACACAATACAAAGATTCAAAATATAAATCTTTAGACACACATCCTTATTTGTTATTGCGAAAGCATACTGTAATGGAAAAAATTGATTCACAAAAAAAAATAGCTCAATTAAATAAATAAAACATCACAAGTCTTTTTGAGATTAAAGCATAGATAAATAAACCGGACTAATGTTTATCTACATTATTACTGTCAGTATTTGATTCTAAACGTGATAATTCGAGTGCCTTTTGAATTGCCCAAATAGATAATGCACGCATATATCCACACTAGTTATGAGAATAAAAAGTTTTCTTTTATATATGAAAAACTAAAAACACTTACAGATCGAAAGTGACCATCACGCATCAATGCTTCAGGTGTTTGAAATGCCAAACCAGCTACATTGTAGCATGTATTATAAATTCCTTCAGATGTAACAAATGCTTGGGTTTTCAAATCCTATATAATACAAATAGCTGTTAGTGCAATCTTTGTGAATTTAAAATGTGAAACGCAACATAGTCATCAATCACAGAAAGATTGTTTTGTTCTATCTATTTTAGGACACAGGTCTTCACCATCATTGTACTTAATCCTCTAGAAATGCAATAGTGAAATAGTTTATATATATATAAACAGTATAGATCATGGTCTGTGACTACTTGTTGTTAAGATGTTTGTCAAGTCTGTAGACGAGTGTTCAAATTTTTACTCACACATTTCAGTACTCAGTTTAGATCATGTTTCACAAAAATTACAATATGAATTAGAACTTAATAATAAGAGTGTGATGGATAGTTCACAAAAATTCTTGTTACTCTCAATCAGTATTTAATCTCATAGAAAAGTGGTCTGTTTACTATATTATGCTTTGTTAGTTGAAATAGCTCGAAAAATCAATCATTTAAAGAATGGGATAAATGTTTAATTGTATCTTTTAATTTCAAATGTCTATCATTATCAAATTTTTTTTTATTATAAAAATTTCACCTCCATAATCATCGTCGATGATAATCCATATGTAACTCCAGTCCATATTTCTTCCGATTGCATACTAACAACTTCTAATTGTCCTAAACTAGTCATTCCATTAACAGCACCAAGTTTTCCTTGACCAAATGTCATAACATTCATATTAAATATTGTATTAAGTACACTATCAACACGATCTTTTTCAAAATCCTATAATTAGTAAATAAATTATTTTATTTCGGCTGTTCTTTTTTTTTTTATCTATAAATAAATTTTACGTCATATTTATGACCAGATAAGCGTAAATACCAAAAACCAGCTAATTGATCCGACATAATACAATCATGATGACGTGATAAACTTGAATCATAATTATAATATGTTCCATTCCATAATTTCTCTGAATATGATGTTTTAGCTAATTTAAGCCATACGTCATATTCATCTAAAGCATTTGTATCATCCATCATTCGTGCCATTTCAACACAAGCACGAAGAGCAGCAATATGAAGATTACCACAATATGCACTAGACAAAAACAAAAGTTCAAGAATATCGAAATCAATTCATGTTACCTGGCTCCAGTTGCTGTCCATGCATCATATGTTTGATCAGCAAAACCACCATTATCAACAAGACCATCACCATCAGTATCTTGTTTTTTAACACGATCAGTAACCATCTTTATTCATTATATAAATCAAAATTTGTTCTTTTTGTCTTTACATTTCTTACTTTTACTGTTGGCCATACATCAATAAGAAATTGTTTATTTTGAGTATAAACATAATCTCGATATACTTGAAGTAAATATTTTAAACCTAAATCTTTCCAATCAGCTGTATCATGAGAAATATAAGCATTAATTAATAACCATGGTTCTTCATCTAAATAGTAAAAAAAAACAGATTTTCGAAAAAAAATTTGAGAAATTTCAATAATTTACCAGGATCACCAAGATCATGCGGAACAGTATGTAATGTTTTCCAATGAGCTGCTCGACCATGAAATAAATAAGTACGAGTTTCACGTTTTTCATAAGCTACTGAACTAGCTAAAAATGAACAACATTCATATTATTCATTATATTCTAATAAAATAACTAACCAAAATCATATTGAATACTTAATTCTAATTGAGGCCATAATTGAATTAAAGCAAATGATGCATAAAAATGAACATCATATGTATTTATCATTCGATACTCATGACCTAGAAGAAATTCTAATGATTAAACGAAATTTCAACATTTGACATATTTACCTTCTAAATAACCAAATCGACCCCATTGTCTAACATGATCAGGCAATGTAGTATCTTCATTTACATCAAGCCAAATAGTACCACCATCAGCAATAAAATAAGACTCGTTAAATAAAGCACTTTTATACCATTCCGGTAATGATCTAAATAAAGAAAATCGAGTATATTTCTCATTTAGTCGTAAATAATGTATTTACTGATCATCTAAAATTGGTTGTTGCCATTTTGCAATATCTTCTTCCCATTGTGTTCGATTCTTCATTGTATATACGCATAGAGTTGATCCAGTAAGTGTTTCTATATCAAAAAATTTTGTATACCATCTAAAGAAATAAATGAAACACAAATGGAATTTAACACTAAACACAAGTAACCTTCGATATTGTCTTTGTCCAAGACCGAAGTTAATTACAGGCATATGCCAAGCAAGAACAAATTCAGATGTCTTTATAGAATTTGGTTCAACAGTAGTTGTTATACATACACAACTAGCTGTATGAACGGCTGTTGATCGAGTATTTTGCGGTTCTAATTATACGAAAAAAAAAAACGAAATAAAAAGAATTAATGACGTATAAAAAAAGTATTATCTTCTTGTAGCTTTTTAAAATTTTAGTGACTGACATAATGAATAAATTACATAAAAAGAAAACTTAGCAAAAAAAGTGGTCATCTCTGCAAGACATACCATCGTATCCTCAAGTTTTTGAGAAAACTCTAACATTTCGGTTGATTTCGTTTACCTTTAGAGAAAGATTGTACAAACTGTTAAAAGATAATATCGTTTTAGAAGAATCACACAGTGAGACTTGTATCTAAAGTTCCAAGTATTATGAATTCTCTTACTTTTCAATGAATTCTATCATTTAGAAATATCTGTTTAAAAGCCAAAGGATATCAAAGATTCTCTTTCTATTCTGAGAGATAATTCACCTTAGACTTTATACAGTCAATCTTCACAGAAAAATTGCTGTGCTTAAACATTTCTACAATAGATCATAAATTGTTGTTCAATAGTCAAAAGTCACAAAAAAATTCTGATTCTAATACACTACTTCTCACTCTTTCCCAATGCGTCAAAATACGCGAAAAATAGTCAAATACTTGCTCGAAAAATTTCCTGTTCATCCTTTACTTTGCTTAGTTCTATGTTTTGGTATAAGATTATCAGTGCAAACACAGATTTTTATAGTATAATAGTGGAAGCTAATTGAACAGTCTGTCCGCTAGATATATTATTTTATCAAAACTAAACAATCCTTTTGTCGACAAGCGACTTACTCTTTGCACAAACAGTTACTATTCAGAAAAAAAATTTGAAGTTATCATTTTACAAAGCTTGAGAAATTTTTTTCAGCACTGTATTGAAAACCTTTCTTGAATACCTGTTAATCGACCATCATCAGTTAGATCAAGCCAAACATCACGTCCATCTGTAGTCGAACAAATATTAAAATTTGTTCGTGTTGTAATTGTATTGTCTGACTTGAATTTTTAGATAACATAAAAAAATTTTTAAAATGAATAGTTTGATTGTAGATATTGATTACAATAAACAAAAAAAAAACAAACCTGTTTTTTTCCCATGATACAATATTCAAGTTTCATACCACGTAACGTTTGTTTGATTGATATCCCACTAGCTGATATTTCATCATCAGTAACATCAACAGATTCATGTGATACATCTCGACATGAAAATTCATGAGAAGCTATAACAACAAAAGTATGTTTTAGTAATGACCATATCCAAAAAGAGAAAATACCTGAACCAGCTTGCCATGTAAACATCAGACTAACTTCAACAGGTTCATCATTTAAATTTTCAATATACCAAAGAAAAGAAGCAACTGGTAGAGATGAATCCTTAATAATGAAAAAATATATAAACCAATATCATTTTTGGAGAAAATTTCTTTTTTAAAATACTTTATAATTGTGTGGAATAATAGGTGAAAGTTGTTTGCATAGTAATCGAATATTTTGATTGGGTAAATCATATGTTGTCCATGATTGAGGATATAAAGCTTGATAATGACCATTTTCTCTTGGAAATGCACAATTCCATGAACGTAAACCTTTTTTTCTTAATCGATATGGTGTTAATACTTGACAATAGGTTGTTGTATTTCGACGACGAATACAAACAGTAAACTAATTTATATCAAAAAAAAAGTAAATAATTATTCAAGAAAAATATTTGAGACAAAAAAAAACAAACAGTATTTGCATCGACAGTATTAAATTCATAGAGACCGGGTACAAGTTGATAACGACAAAATTCTCCACGAAAACCTCGACCAATTGTTCCACAACCTACACCACCAATAGGTGCGCCTAGATAATAGAGAAAATAAATCAATTGTTACTTTCTCCTTTTATACAAAGCTAATATAAGAATCAAAACGAAAAACTCTCATTTACATTCAAATATTAGGTGATGTAAAAGTTCTGCATTAGTTTTGTTTTCAATATATCGCAACAACAACTCGTCATAGAAACTTAATGATTTTCTTTTTAGAAAAACTGAAGTTTCCACTACAAAGCTGTGTAAAAATATATTTCGTTCAAAAGATTTACCAAATACTGAAAGGTTTGAAGAACAGGTTTGACTAGAAAAATGCTTTGTAACTTCGCACAAAATCAATGATGAGAAGTATATTTGATCGATTTAGTTTCTACTTGACTTTCGAAAATTTTTACACACGTTATGTATGAATCTAATCAACATGATGTAGATTTTCTAGTGGCATCAAAATATTTCAGTTACACAACTAGACGATTCATAGGGAGCAGTCTTCTAATAATAACTTGATTTGCCATCGACGATGCCGAATTAATTTATTCTCATCAAATTTCTTAGTGGATAGAAGTTTTCTTCTAAATACCAGAAGTACTCAGAGAACCTTTACAATCAAGCATATCACTAAAACTTTTCCGCCTTTTATAATTATTTTCAATGGCATTTTTTTTATGCAATTTTGCAGTAGAAATTTAAATATTTGCCATAAGAAAACTATCAAGTCTTCACGAAAAGTTCTTGTCATACAGTACTGAAAAATAAAATTAACGCAGAACTTTTTTGCACCACCTATTGTTCCTAAAATATTCCTTTTATTCACCATAGATTTGTTGAAGTGGAACTGGATTAAGAAAATCCATATGTGCTCGTCGTTTTGCTCTTTTTAATTTATACCATACTCGAAGATATCTAATAAATAACAAGAATAAAATGTTTCTCGCTTTTTCTTTTATATTTATTAAAATCACCTCATAAATAATGGTACATATTCAATTGCCTGTCTTAGTTTTGGTCGTGAAAATGGTTTCCATGTTGGATCAAATTGTTTATCAAAACGCACGTGCCAACCATATTTAGTCGGCACTAATTTATCGAGATTTGATATTGACATATAAGTAAAATAAAATCTGAAACTAGAAAACTTAATTCAATATCGACATCTCATATTATTCTTTCATTCATATTTAATCATTTCAATTGACATTAATTATTCATCTTTCGAAAAGACAATTTTTTCTCTTCAACAAGGCTTTGACAATCTTTTTTTGTCTTTTATATCAAGCTAAAAAATGTGTTAGAATGATAGATACGAGAAGCACACACGTCGACACACATCTGACACAAGACATATAAATGTTACGAAAAGAAAAAGAAACAAACAAATAAAAAGAAATCAATGGACGGATTGAGAACATTTAAAAAGCAAATTCATTCTACAGAATTGTACAACAAACACAAGTAGTTGTTGCTGATGCAGATCCAGCTGTTGAAGCTACATGCATAGTAGCAGCGTTACGACGTTTTTCCCTAGAAAATAGACAAAGAAAATGAATTAAAATATGAAAAAGTTCAATTATTTTACCAAAGATCTTGTAACCATTTTGATGATTGATAAAAGTGAGGATCACTTAAACGATAAGCAGCACGTTTCATTCCATAATAATATAAAACAGAAACTAAAAATTTCATACAAATAAAAAACAATAACAATAATAATAATTCAATCATACATGTACGTTGAATAACATAAAAAGCTAATACTTCTGGTTTTTTAAAGGCATCATTAATAAATGTATCATATTGAAAACGTTCATTCTATAGAAAAATAATATTTTAAAATAAGAAAATAAAATTAAAGATCTAATTTCATAAATTACAAGTATAAGTGCTTGAGCAACAGCACAAAGTACAAAATAAAAGCATGTAATAACAATTGAAAATCGAAACATCCGAAGAAGTAAACAGAGTAAACCAGCTTGAGCAACATAAGTTGTTAAAACCATAACAACAAGTAATGTTAGTGAAAGTACAATACATACATCTTGGACACTAAACAAAAAAAAAAAACTTACATACATTTACAATCATTTTATAGTATAGCTTTTTTTCTAAAACTATAACAGAATTGAATTTCTTTTGATCATATATAGCTGAAAAACTAATTTAAAATATAACTTCCATTAGTACGTAATAGAATCAATACTTATAGAGTTTGACCAAGAATATTATTCGTAGACTTTGCGTTACTCATAGTATTTGCATTTTGTGATGACAAATATTTGTTGTATTTATAGACACTTTGTAACGATTTTAATTCTTGTTAATTTATAAATTAGTATAAAACAAGATTTAAGTTTTAAAAATAAAATTTTCAAGAACAAAACTTCCATTTATTTCATACTCTGTCTTTTGTAATAATTCAAAATTTAATAAAATCTTTTTTAATTATCTAATCATTTCTTGATTTCGATCATTAAGGATAGTTTGAAATAAATAATAAATATGAAACAAATATTTACATAAAAATAATAAGTTGTCCCAATGTATTTGGTGCAAGAAATTCACTGAATGTATTAATACATATATCAACCACTACAAGAAGAATATTTGTATACAATAAAATCCGATAACGAAATGGAATCATTGTCGAAAGTTGTTGCGTATCTATTGTTTGTGATAGCATCTTTTTTTTTTTTTGTTTTTCTATAATTATTTTCTTTTAATAATAATCAATACCATGAAAAGGAAACGATCGTAGGAAAAATAAAAAGTTAATCTTCATGCATGGGACAGTTTCTTCGTCAAGGAGATAAAACAGAATCGTTTGTATTCGCCAATGAAATTCTGAAATAGAAATATTTAGTAGTCAATCGACTACTAGCGACATCGAACTAAATTATATAGAGAAGATGATTTTTTAGTTCGAGCGGAAATACATTATTTGATAATCTTTCTGGATTTTATCATATGCGTGAATAACTCTATTTGAATAGTCTAGAAGCTTTAATTATTACGATTTATTTAGTATATAAGAAAGGAAAAAACAATCAATGTGCACACAAATAATGTAGTTGATTGACGACGGGAAAAGAAAAGCACGTGCATTATAAAAAATACCATCAGTTAAAATTTGTCACCGTTATTATTTTTACCTGCTGTTGATTCCTATATGGATACCTTTTACAAAACGAAGATTTGAAGAGGTTGGAAGTTAATACTTCCTACGCAAACGAAACAAAAATCCTTCACATTACTTTGTAACAAAGTAAATACACAAATATACATTGAGACATACTTCAGATAAAACTTGGCTAAGTATAAGTATATCAGTCTTTTTTTCTTTCTATTTTATTATAAAGAAAGAAAAAGTATTATGAATTTGCTTTCTATTAAACAAGGATAGTAAAATTTATCTTATTAATTACTTTAGAAAATATTATGGGCAATACAAAAAGTTCGTCGAATAGAATAGGAATTACTACTATTAACCAAAAACAACCCCAGAAGGGAGGAAATAAATACAGGAATTTATCTGAATCCGATGATCAAGATACTAAATGGGCTTTATCGGAACGAGATATTAATTTTCTTTGTTCACAGACCGGTAAGTACACATATTTATTTTATGCTAACTTTATCAAATTTTGCATTTAATATGTGAATAATGACTTTTGTTAATTATTGGTTTAATGAAATGAATAATAAAATCTTATGAAAAAAAACGTGAAATTTTTAAGGAGAGTTGAAATTATTTAAATATTTTAAACTAAAAGCACACTTATTCAGATCGGTAGATTTGTTTTATGAGTATAATTTCAAACTTTTTAAAGAGATAGATGAAAGATTGTATTTCCACATGAGTCTATATTATTTGACCTGATAGTATGTACTATTTTATTGAAGTCATGCTTGCTTGTTGTAATGAAAGTGCAATAAGGTTAAAGTCAAGTACTTTTTCTTAAATCAGATTAACAAAAAAAAGTATAGATTAGATGTTGTATAAAGCAAGCTAGAAATAAATAAAGTAATCGGCACTACTTTAATATTGAACAAATCAAACGTCAGTGAAATAAATTGTCACGTTCTGACAAGGTGATGTTTTTATTGATCTTATCCTTGAGAAAAATGCTTCATGATATAGCTCCTATAAATTTTTATTTTTGCTTCTATATATTCATAATAATAACATATGTAGAAATCGATCATTTCATTTATTTTATTTTTCAAAAGGATTATCGCGAGATGAAATTCGTACATGGCATGAAAGATTTTTCCATGATAATCCAGATGGTCGTCTTGATCGAGTTGAATTTCGTAATTTATTTCGTCTTCTTCGTCAAGAATCTCCTGAACGTTTAGACAATATATGTGATCATGTATTTCGCGCATTTGATGTTGATGGCAATGGTTATGTTGAATTCGGTGAATTTTTACTTGGTTTTGCTATATGCTCACGTGGTGACCTTCGATCACGATTAGATTATGCATTTGAATGTTATGATTTAGATTCAAATGGTTATATTACAGAAGGTAAAGCTTACTAAAGAAAACTATTCACACTTATTTCTGTTATTCTAGATGAAATTGAGCCAGTTCTTCGAGCAATGTATGCTTTACTAGGCATAACACATATTGAAGATTATCCACCGGAAACTGTTGCTAAAGATTTGATGACAAAATTAGATATAACTAAAGATGGCCGTGTAACTAAAGATGAATTTATACATTTTCTTATGAAAGAAGGAATGTATAGAAATACGGTCAATCCGTTTCATTAATTTTTTATATGTGGTTTCTTTTGAAGTTGTTTTTTTTATTGTCAGATAATAGCAAAACAAAGAAACAAAACTTTTTTATTTTTGATCATGAATGCGATGTAATGTATCGGTTAATATATAACCTAATAGATTGAGTCCTTTCCATGTCGATCGATTCCTAATTAATGGATTATCTTGCTTTAGCCCAACACCCCATATGCCATCGTTGCCTGCTGCTTCAACTAATAAACTTCCATAATGTTTTAAAAGCGCTTGTTTCAGTTGATCATCTTCGGTAAACTAGAAAAAAAAACGAACATTTTTTGTTGTTTCTATGTTATTTTTAAATTCAAGTAAAAACGAATTCTACACTTTTAAATAAAGTCCTTGGGAAAGAATAGGTGTTCGATTATCCATCCATAATTTTTCATCAAAATTTTTAACTGTTCTTCCTAAAGCTTTACAATCAGCTGGAGTTGTAGCTTGAAGAATTGCTTCAGCTGTTTCATTATCATTAAATAATTCTTTAAATAGAAAAAAATATTTTATTTGAAAAAATTAAAAGCAGAAAGAAAAATAATTTTCTTTTACTTGCTTTATGATACATCATATATTGTTCAGTTGTATGAAATTGAATACCATTTTCTAACAAATTACACGGATGAAAATTACTAAAAGGTGATGCTGTTGCATAGAAAAAATGAAATTTATCGGGTTCGTTATTTGGGAAATGTGAATGAACACGTTTAATCAATTCACTTTCAGACGGTGTTAATGCAGAACGAGTACAACTTGTATGCTTAGATGCCATATAAAAAATGTCTAAAAAACCGTAAATATTTTTTAATGTGGCATGAATAATATTGTTTTGTTGATTTAAGAATGTTTTCATAGTTATCAGTTCGAATAAATTAGGTATATATAAGAGTATTTCTTGTTCGTTGTGCAATCTAAAAGTGAATGGTTGAAATAATGTTGACTCTTGTTGTATTGGTGGTTGTGAAACTCAATACGCTTTTTCGAAATTACATACATATGCGAATTCTTTTACTTTATTCAAATTTCAGTACATTTGATTTAATGGAAGTGACGTTTTTTCCATGGGCCATACCGCCCCCCTGGCTAGATTTTTTTTCTTTTAAATATTTTTTGTTAGGTCTGATGTGAGGATGTAAGATCACTAAACCAAATCTTGGACATTTTTAGTTTCGGCAAAAAAATCAATACTTTAGGAAAAGGATAATTTTCAACAAATATTGACTCTTATGTTATTTTATAATGTTATATCTCAACTACAGCTGCATGAACAATTACCAAAATTGTACTGCATATACAACAGAGGGTACTCATTACAATAAAAGTAAAATCATCATGGACAATTGCTTTATTAATGAGTACTGTCTATCATCAAAGAATATTTACTTGTACACTTATTTTGCAGTGCATCAGGAAGATTGTTTCATCTATAATTTCAAAACAATTCATTATTAAAAAGTGAAATTTTTATCATGAGTGTAGTTTCATATAGACTATCAAAGTAATA